GGATTAATAATAATGGATTGCATTTATATAGCGCTTTTCGAGACCCTCAAATTCCACTATTCATTCACTCTCACATTCACACACTGGTGGAGGCAAGCTACAGTTGTAGCCACATCTGCCCTGGGGCAGACTGACAGAAGCAAGGCTGCCATATCGCGCCATCGGCCCCTTTATCCAACACCAGTAGGAGGTAGGTGAAGTGTCTTGCCCCAGGACACAACGACCGAGACTGTCCGAGCCGGGACTCGAATCGGCAACCTTCCGATTACAAGACAAACTGCCAACTCTTGAGCCACGATCGCCCACTTAAGTCAGATACAGCATGAAAGGAAGGGCTGGGGTGGAGATGGGTTGCAAAGCAGCTTGCAGCAGCACAGCAACAGCAGGAAAGCTAAGGCAGCTTGAACAGCTGCATTGGTTCCGACAAGGAAGAGCTGAGGGCTGCTGTATTAAGGGTATGGGATAAAATAACAGAGGAAGGCATAAAGCATGTGGTTATGTCAACAGGTCAGAGACAGCAAACAGTTATGCACCATCTACTTCATTACCTAAAATAATGGCAGATGATGATGGTGTTCATCATTAAACTACTACTGCTGCTGCTACTACTATTAGACTACTAGACTTAGACTACTACTAAACTACTGCAATTAAATATTAGCAATACATACTTTAACAATGCACAGTGCATTTTATTTTAATTTACATTGACTGTTTTGAAATACAGACCCTAAAGAACAAGGAACATGACTTATCATCTGGATACCTGGCAGTTGGATTGATGTAAATATTAACTTAAACAACAAACAAAAAATAAGCACTATAGCAAAACGCCATCATAACACATATGCCAATCAACAGCTAAAAGGCCACTGTAACAGTAGGTTCTGCCATAACAGTATGTCAGATCAATTAACTGGAAATAACTATGGGGGTGCCATGTTCACCAACCAGGTGCAACACAGATTAATATTAATATATTGGGCTTTGGAGGCCAGTATAAAATTGGCTTTCATCCCTCCTCTAAAGATAAAAAGAAAACACAAACTTAAAGTTTAGTTTCAAATAATATTAGCTCATTAGTTTAATGCTACTTCTGTGCTTAATTTTTGTATTTTGTAATAACGGATTTAGAACTCTTCGTTATATCTGCGTACATACTGATAAAGTCTGTAGATTATTGTTATTAATCCTGTTAAGTAAACTATAACCAAAAATACATTACAAACTAATTACTCATATTAATTATACTAATTAGGTCAGGAAAGCAATGCAAAAGTTTTTATTGCACTTTTCTTTTGGTGTACTCAGTTGGTAAAAGTCCTTTCCAGACACATGGCTTTGCATCTCACTATCCTGAATACCTTACAGCTGCAGTTAATGTCAATTTTAAACTTTAACTTTGAGGTAAAATCCTGTCCTGGCTAATGGGTCTACTCAGGAATCGTTGCAGAGATTTGTATGCGATAATGAGAAGTAGAGGTGCAGTCCCAATTCATTCATCCTTCTAACCTCTGGGTGTAACTTGTAATTACTCCAGTGCGGCTATGGGGTGGTTGGCAGATTAAAAAGAAGTTGCCCTGAGGGTGGTTGGCCAGCCAGTTAAAGAGTCAGACAGCCACCAAGGCTCTGCTGAAGTGACACAAATTCCCTGGCTGACAGGAATGTCAATGCAGCTCTCAAGGTGACACCTGACTGCACAAACTCTCCCGTCTTGTGCCAAAATCACTAAAGAAATACATTACTAAAGTGTTACATGCACACCAGTGTTCACTACATGTGAAAAAAAAAGTTAACTGAGATGAGTCTCAGTTAATATTTTAAAATAAATTCTATGATTTCTTTCATCTACAATATATATATAAGGAAAATTTAGGATTTTTTAAGAGTCTACAGCCTTTCTAAGTAGCACATGTGTTCACTCTGACCTCAGTTAAACTCTTCAGCATTATATGTATGTATATTAAACATGTAACATACACAGAGGTTTTATATTTGAGGAAATACACCAAATAAATTAAATAAATGTTACTCATACTTTTACACCTATGCTGTAAACACAATTTTGCAAGGGGGTATTTTTTTATAACATGGCACTGCAGCATCTACGCATACTTCTACCATTGCTAACAGTCCATTATAACACAGTTTAACATCCTTTGGTCATCTTACTCACCAGCTTGTTTGTTCACTGTACATTTTACACATACTGTATCTCCGTACAGTTTTTTCTATACATATTTCTGTACATCGTTACCTGTATATACAAACCTCAGTTGCTTATGTATAGGACCACTTTGTGTCTTCCTTGTATATCTTGTATTCCCCTTGCTACAGGAGCTGTGTAACACTGAAATTTCTCATCCGTGGGATAATAAAGGTTTATTCTATTCTATTACTGGTTGTAATAAGCAGTTATTACAAAACAGCATATGATTATATTTTTTAATAAAAGAAAAAAGCAAGACAATATTTTACACTACAAACCTCCTGCATAATTACATTGATAATGTATCTGTTACTGGAAATGAATCACGACCCATCTTCAGGTTAGTGATTTGCTCTGATTTGTCAGTAACCAGCATTTACAGATACTGAACACGTCTCAGTCATTTCTTCCATCTCACCACCTGATCCCCTTCCAATGCTAACCAATAAGAGTTGATGTTTTTCAACAAGGCTGGCACACCATCTAGTGGTGTACAGAGGAAATTCAGCTGTGCTTGGTGTATTAATCAAACGTAAAATGTCTTCACAATTTCTAAGCATTTGATTTTTTTTCCTGGATTTGACAAAGAGGTAAAAAGAACTAAAAAAAAAAATTCTTTTTCAAAGAGCATAATGCCAATTTTGTAGATATAAAACTTCAACACACAAAAACAACATGTGGAAAAAGTAACAGGGTCCTAATGTTTTGTCAATGAGTATGGAATCCAAAACAGTATTCAAATGAACCGGGTTGTAATCTTAGCTAAAACAGTAGACACTTCCAAGGACTTCACTGTTTCTAGAGCTCAGAGGGAGAGAGAGGAGAGATGGTGGGTTTCAAGACAAAAATCTGGGCTGATGCACAGTGCTGTCAGAGTGAGTAATAGTCCTGTGCACAGATTTCAGTGAGTCTTACACTTACTGCTCTCTCTAAAGCTATAGATCAGGTATTTGTTCTGTCACTAACTGTCATCTGTCCTTCTGCTGTGCATATATAACTATCTATCTATCTATCTCTCTCTCTCTCTCTCTCTCTCCTTTCCTCTACTCCCACCAAATTTTTTTCCACACCACCTCTATCGCTTCTGTACCTTTAATTTGTTCTCTACCCACATGTTCACCCATTTTCTCCCCTTTCCATTCCACATCCACCCCCATTACAGTTCTACCTTACATCCATCATCACCACCTGCCTAGTGTAATTCCTTTCTTCCTTTTTGGAGAACCACCTCCACCTGTTTAGCTGAATGTTTCTTTCTGAAGTTCTCATCTCCCTCATGGTTTTATCCTGGAAATGTCCTGCCAAAACTCAAACCTTATTCCCAAACTGCCACCCAAAGAAAAATATATATATGTACTTATTTTTTAAAAGGTCATTAAAATGTGCTTAGCAGTTCCAATAGGGGGACCTTAGAGTCCAAACAGAACATCAGTAATGCTTAAGAATGCTAAAATAAGAATTTTAAAAACTTACTATTAGCAGTTTGCTTGAAAACCACTGGATTAGACCCATGTCAACTGTTTTATGTTAAAATGGCTGCAGTGAAAAATGTCTAAATACATCTATTTAGTAGTGCGGTGCATTTGTTTCCATCACATTTTTCTGACCCCATGTTCCAGACTGGGGTCAGTGAATTTTAAAGATTAGTTCTATCAGCCTTAGACTGTCTAGACTTTCTGCCATTATGGTCAACTTACCCTTTGCAACTGAAACAAGAGAAATGAATCAAATGTAAAAATTATATTTATTAGTTTTAAAGTGACGGCAAACACCAATGAATGCCAAAAGTTTCCCTACTCACGGAAGCATCGTCTTCACCTCCAATCAATTATTTTAAACTTTTGGAGCATCACTGCGTTTGTTTAAAATTTTAAAATACCTCCTCATGACTTGTAATACAGATCATTTCATTCAGTTGTAATAAAAGCTACAAACATCTTCTTCAGTCAACTTCAAAGGAAGCTACCTAATTGGGAACGTGTAGCAAAACAACCACACAACTCTGTTTCCAAAGAGGTGGGTTGTTACAGAATGCAATAGTTTGACTTAAAGTCTATATTTAAGTAAATATAATGCAAAGACAATATAAAAATATGCATTTTTTTCTTCAGTGCTTGCAATGTGCTTATAGGGTTTGGAGTTTAACCTCAGCAGACTGAGGTGAGAGACATAAAAAGAGGCCACAAAAGGAAAAAAGGAAGCATTTTACTGTGATTGTGGAGTGGACTTTATTTCATATCTTACAGTATTATAGATGATGAAAGATGAGGTGGAACTGTGAACATCAGCGAAAATGGCATAAAGACCTCTGAGACACTAAACTTTGTAGCAGTGTTCTGTTTATAAGCCGGAAACAACAATGTGAGCTAAATCCAAAACGGTAAACAGCAGTCCATAAAATCATGGACTTTGATTCCACTGTTTGACTGAACTGCTCGAGTTGGCTATAAAAAGGACACAGAATAATATAAATTTGTCTTTATATCTATTTTTTTATTAAAACAAGTAACATCAAAAGTGTTAGAGGAATAAAAGCACACAAGTGTTAGGCAACCGGAACATTTCATTAGTGAACTCTGTGTTCTGCAAGATAAGGTTCGTCAGTGCATTGTAACATCATGAATTACAAAACTGAAAATATAAAAGAATCAAATACATCTCAAGCGTGAGGGCGGTGTCAGGCCATCAAAGAAGCCAACGTTACGAACAGTGAGCGGATTGAACAACAACAACAAAAAAAGAAAAACGAAAAAGAAAAAACTAAAAGAAGAAAACTACCACACGCCACTGCTGTTATTGAAGACATTTTCTCCTTTATCAGCATACATATTATAATGACCAACCCAAGTTACACAATAAGCACAAGGTATGACTACTGAAGAGTTTAGAGTTGAAATACAGCCAGGATCAGTTTCAAAGCATCCCCATGTTCAGGGACAAATTAGCTCTACAGACACCGAGATAATAGCAGAAGAAGAATTACATGTTGCTTTTTACAGTGCAGAAGCTGGCTTACTGAATTACCCCTGTTAACATAAAGTATTAGACAGAGTAATTCATATACTTTAAAAGCTTATTCTTTAAATGAAATCTTCAAGTACACTTCCCAAAATCTATTCCATGTAGTTTAGGTTGTTTTTCAATGACGGACACATAACAAGAGGGAAAAATATTTCAACATTTTTATATCTTGTCACCCAAACCACTCATCACTCAGTCTCATCAGCAGTTTATGAAATCATATCTTAAACTTTTTTTTAACTAATACTGTTTTGATAGATTTTGAAATTATGGTCCGAGTTTAATGTCCAGAAATCAGAGCAGAAAAGGAAACATTAAATGTCAAACAGAAATGTGATCATCCCTTTCATTCGACTTCCCACTCCCACAAATATCTATTAAAATACAACGTAGGCATCAAATCTAGGCTATTTTTACATATGTGTCTTATTTATATGTTATATACTGGCAGCCAATCCAAAGTCGAGCAATCAGAGGGCGCCCTCACTCATAAATTAAGACTTCATAATTACCGCAGCTCTCATAAATAACCAGTATAAATGGGAGCCAAGCTGTTCCTTGGGAGGGAGTAATTGCCGATGATGATTTGGCAACACGTGTACGCTCTCATTTGTGTGTGAGCGAACGAAAAGAGGAAGTGTCTTGAGTGACTGTCATTATCAAGTAGAGTCATAGCTGTGGCTTGTAACTTTTTTTTGGCAAACAGAAGCATGAAACATTCAGTTGACAGTGTCAAGCAGTTTTGTTTACCTCTCTTCGGTCCCCTGCACGATCCGTCTTTAGGAACGAGAAGCACCGGAGTACAGTAACCCAAAACATTAAAATGTTAACATTGTTAACAAATTTTAATCATATTGAAACTTTTACAAAGAATAAAATCTGGAATCCTTCTCCTGTACAGCAACTGGCGATTGCTGACCCTCCCTTAGCCCAGTTGGTTTTGGCAGTGGTCTAACACTTGTGCTTCATGGCAAGCTGTAGAAACATTTGGGTAGGGTTGAAAGACAATAAAGTGAGAGAATGCAAGAAAAGTGTGGAAGACGCACACACAGAAAGACTACAGGTTGGTGCTAAATAATGAGGAGAATTCTACACATCCATCAAGTGGGGGCAGTAAAGTAGCACACAAAAATGAGGGGTTCGGATTAAAGCTGAAGAGTGCAGCTATGTAGCTGTCAACAAGGGATTGCAGAAGTGGACTCAGACGAAGAGTCAAGGTGACCTACTCGCAGCAGTACAGATGCTTAATGTTAAAATGTAGGAAGAAAAAACCCAAATCCTTCACATTCCAGCCAGCCAATCCATTCTCAAAGTCATCCTCAAACAGAATAAGACAAGACTTTTTATCCGTCTCTAAGGTTACCAAAGCGCTTTCAACTGAGGATTTCAGGCAGGCAACGGCATGAATCTTGATAACGTGCAAGACAAATGACAAGTTTGAAACATGTCATATTTCAAACATATTTCATAACACATTTCACTCGATGCTCATGGCATCAAGTGAAATGGGAAACAAAAATGAAAAATTCTTCGTGGGGGTTGTGCAGTCATGCTCTAAAACCACCAAAGCTATTTCCCTGCTTTTCCCCTGTGGTTATTACAGTTTTTGTAATTTCTCACAGCAGGGAAACACGTCTTTTAGCTGTGAGAGGGCCATGCAATACTCTTCAAATGTCTTTCAATTATCTCACCGTGGCTTACAAGGCGCAATGCATCATTCAACTTCAAAAGGTAGCAGATGGCTTTACTATTAAAGTCAATGATATCCCACTATGGCCAGAAATCATATGCCTGTCAGTGAATGGTGTTGTTGAACAGCAAGCTGCAAACCCGAGGCGTCTGATTTACGATGTTGTTAGATATATGATGATCACAATCAGGTGTGCTCGTTACAAAGCAATACAATATTTGCTCTTGTTTTGAAGTAATAAAAATAAAAGATCATGCACTAATAGCCTCATTAAACAGCATGCAATTAGTTTTCCTGACGACGAAGAGATGTGGGATTGAGGCAGAGTGAGGGAACACCCTATAGAGAACTATGAAATGGAGTCAGTGAAGGGGGGAAAAAATGATTATCTTCACAGAGCAGACATGCTCAGGTTTTGGAAAAGGTTTCATCTTCATCAATAATGACTGGTAATTCTGCAACATCTCAAAGTCAGAATTCCAGCGTACTACATTAAAATAGTAATCCCACCTTGCGGTTACATATTGTAATGCATCTTAGTAACAAATGGACTCACCTTGTGTGCAGTGACAGCAAACTGTTCAGCACTGTTCATCATGTCTGCAGTCCTCTCCTCAGCCCGGCCTAATCGCTCACCACGCTCGTTCAGAGCCTGGCTGGCCTTCTGTACAGCACTCGTCACACTGTCTGCAGCTGAGTGTAGTATACTGTTACCTGCAGATAAGGGTAGGAGAGAAGAAGCAAGCCAAGACGTAGGCAAGGGAGGAAAAAGACAAGCAAATGCAACAACAACAAAAAAGGAGTGAAAAGACAAGGGGAAAAGAGAAGAAAAAATAATGTAAACAGATTAGCTGTCATGAAAGAACTGGCGACATCAGCTCAGGGCTGTGCAATCAGTGACCCTAAGCCTCAGTGTTAATTGTGGAAGACAAAACCATGAAAAACAAAATGGCTTCAAACAGGTGCAGTGTGGGAAGGTGCCTAATGAATTTTCTTCAAAGCTGATTTACTTCAAGGTAGGATCAAGGGAAATTAACCTTTCCCTAACTTGAAAGAATGCAACTGCAACACAAGTAACTCCGAATGTAATGTTTCCTTCAGGAAAGCGGGTTATTCTTGGGGACATTCAGCACTACTTTTCTTCAATTTGAAACTTTCGTGGACAGCTTTGTGATTGCGCTGCCTTTTTTTTTCTCCTAAACTACAATATAATAACGAACAGATATTTGCTCGGTGGCATGGGCTACCCTGGAGACCCAGTAGTGGATATAAGACACAGAGCACATCTTCAGATAGCTGTGGCAGCCCTGCGGATGTTTCCTCTGACAAGACATTAATCTACCACACATTGGGAGTGCTGCCATTATGCACTACTATAACAACTAGACTAGGAACAGCAATCTTCCTGCTGTTTTCTTTTTGTGGAACAGTCGCACTGCTATATAATTTGTCATTTTATACTGATGTAATTTAAGGGAAATGTCTGCACTTTTTTTTTTTTAAACATTTTCACCTCATACTGCTTTGTCCCAATTCTGGAGTTAAAATGGAACTTTCACTCTGTGGTGAGACAGTCCACTACCAAACATCATTGAACAATAAGAAAATAGGAAACGACAATAAAGGCAGCTTTACTGTAGTATAACATATAACACAACTTTGGATCATTCTGTCTTTTTTGGGCATTGATCTGTTAACAACCATCAAAAAGGTCAGGTGAGTGAACTTAATTAAAAACAGATATAAAATGATAATATATAATATTAAAAAATATGCATATAATCAGGTTGAGCCAACAGCACAGAGTAAAGCTTGGAAGTACTGAATGTAATTAGGCTCTGATAAGCCTGATTCTATCTTTTTCACAGGAAAGTGCAATATAGGTAGTGTACATCCTCTGGCATCAAGGCAGGTAGTCACCTACTTCAGTGATTATATGAGAGCCCAAAAGCAGACAGTGAGGCCAGCTGGTGCTCCTTCAAAAGAAGTTAACTTGACAGTCAAAGCAATTTATGTAGAGATGTATCAGTACTGCAGCACACAGATGGATGTGAGTATAGATGTTTACACCCATTCGTGTGCACGCTAAATGAAATGGAAACACACACAAGTTTTCCCTTCAATTTTCTTTAAATTACAGTAAATGAAGCACAGTCAATGTGGCAAACACATCTGGACCTCGGAAGAAAAGAGCCGCATACCTCTTCTTTTTCTATTTAGTATAATGTCTACATTTTAAATTCTGTCCACTGCCAGAGTGCATTTCTACACTTTGTCATTATCATGCACTCCCCATTTGATTTCCTTTTTTTTTTTTTAAGTTAAAAAAAAAACTTTGCTGAAAATATACTTTCTCCTAGGAAATATATTCTCTTCACTAGAAAGGATGAGACCTTTTCACCTTCAGACAGATTCTTCTTAATCCTCTCCTCCTCCAGGGAAGCCCTGGGACTAATACTCCCTTCATCCTCAATATAACCCCAACACTCACAACCACCCAACACTATGCAGACTCAATAAATATATCTATTTATTTGTCTCCCCACCAATATCACGTCCCTTTTTTTCCTCTGTTCCCAGAGATGTGTTGCAGGCTGCAACACAGGCTGTAGAAAGTACTCAGATAAAAGACAGGGTGGAGACATTCTGGAGGGTTTTTGATAGGAGGTGCAGTATCAGAAGCCAAATGAAATGTGTAGGAGTAGATTATGTTATGTGGTGCCATCGTTGTGCTGCTCTGAGCCTAGTGTCTGCACTTGAAGTGGAAGCTGATCAGCCACTGTTATCAAAAAAGAAGATATCAAAGAAGATAATTCAAAATGAATTTTAATGAAGCTGAAGTTTAAAGTATCTCTTATTATGACACTGATGTCGCACTAGTAAATCTTAAAGAGGAGCTTTTTGTAAAGATTTGTCAATCTGTCACAGCGCTGAATCTGCTAAACCCATGACGCGCCTGTCTCGACAATGTCAAAGGCATTTGGTTATTTTACTCACAGAAATCAACATGATCAGCCAGGGCTTCTCAAACAATGGAGGCTAAAAAAGGCAAGCTGTTTGCTGGCAAAATATTCTAGAAAAATAAAAACTACAAGCAAAGGCAAACATAACAAGGAAGTGGGGTGTGGGGTGGTGGGATAATTCAAAGTCAACCCTTCCTTTTCCACTTTGTCTGTAAGCAGCAGATTACAGCCTGCGCTGCTGTGAGGCAAAGAAAATAAGCTGATAGTTATCAACAAGAGCATGTCAGATACACTTCACAAGATGCTGACAGCCAAGTCACATTTACTATTACAATACATGGGATTGATAAGATTGGACACAAAAGATCCATGCTGGAGTGCTTTTAATATTTCAGGCTGTCAGTCTGTTAGAATAAAGCTGTAGGGTATAATGTGTGTGCGGGTGATTTAGGGGAGAGAATGTTTTGCAGTCATTTGTTACGCATTAGCGTGCACATAACAGCTCCAATGAGATATTATGAATGAGGCTGGTGTTATTCATGCAAATATAAAATGTACTGTCAAGGATGTTGGTAAGTGCAGCCAATGCTTAATGCTCAGTTTCACCTCTATCACCAGCATTTTGACTCTGAAGTACAGAATAACCCATTTTCATCTTGTATAGAGCTTCTTTGCATTTTTCTATTGTGTTAATCACAATTACCAAAACAAAGTAATATGTAAATTTTTTTTTTCACTAATTCAAAGAAAAGTAAAAAGCAGATTAACAAAAACTTAAACAATACTGTGTACTCACAACATTAAAATAAGAATAAAAACAGCAAATACCTTCAGTTTTACTCTGTTAATTTGGTCATGTTTGCATCACACCTGCTTGAAGAAGATCCTTGGCATTAGGGATGTTCATGACTGAATCTTCAAAATGTATTACATTTGTATTGTAATACAGCATTCATTCTAAACTTCTTAAATCTGCCCAAATCTAAAAATACCACAAAACATTCAAAAGTAGCACTGAAACTAAACTAAGGTGAAACATCTTCAAACTGAAATGAGCAAACCCATTGTAGAAAGTACCTGGAATTAGACTGAGAGAAAAATGAGAACAACTAAAAAATACAAATACAACCATTTTGATAATACAAAAAACTAACTCAGATACCAATATTATCCTATATTCCTGTTTTTAAAAATTAAAACAAAAAGGTAAAACAAGGTAAACAAGGATGTGTGTGAAGGATGCTATGAGTATAAAATGCATTTTTGTATTGTAACTGCAATTTTCTGATAATAGTTTCTCTTAAACTGAATTTATTAACAATTTTAATGTTTTTGTGATAAAAGGACACCTTTCAATTTATTTTTTTGGATTAAAAAGAGTATCGTGGATGTCTGTGTGTGTGTGTGTGTGTGTGTGTGTGTGTGTGTGTGTGTGTGTGTGTGTGTGTGTGTGTGTGTGTGTGTGTGTGTGTGTACACGTACCAGTGGAGAGAACTAAATCAAAGAGCAAAATACATTATAAAGGCCAAAAGAAGCTTTAAACAGAGTAAGTAAAGCTTCCAAGAAATAGCAAAAATGCTCCAAAAATTAAATACTTTACATTCTTCTATATGTGGATCAGTCAAACAATGTCTTAATACCTGTCAATGTTTTCCCCAAAGGTTACATTTGTTGTGTAGAAAATGAGCATGGCAGGTAAAGCCCTCATACCAAATGATTTAGACACAAAAGAATGATGTACAAAATGATGGATTAAAATCATAAAACAGACTTCCTAGGAGCCTAAAGGCACAGCTATGCTGCTCCTACTCCAAGATAACCAACCCCCCGCTGCAGTTTAATTAATGCAAATCTTGACATTACCCACCGCAGCATAATGAAAATATAGCTGAGGTTCAAACAAGAAGGGCACATCCCCTTGGCTCCAGATGTACACTTATTATTTCTCTATAGCCAGTTATCCAGTTTCTTTTTTAATCCAATCACTGTTCCACACATTCATCCTGCACCTTTTCCCCATGGTCAAATTACTTTCTTCTATTAAATTTTCACCCCCAAATCTCCATTTAATCAAGCATACTCACTCCCTCCAGCTCCTTTAAGTATCTGTACCCGACTTCCCACCCACCTCAGGCAGCACTTACTTACAATAAAATACATACTGGATACCCTGCATATCAAATAACATCACTTTATTTCAAGTTCCAAAATTTTCTGCTTTTTATTTATTCTCCAGAATTCAGAACCTTAAGTTGTTTAGAGTCACACAATATTTATTTCAACCTACGTAAACTCAATTATGTTCTCTTAATTTTCAAGTCCATGAGTTTAAAAATGATCTTATTACCAGTATTTATGCATCCTACAGATGTGTGCATTAATTCTGGGACGTGAACCCTGAATGATGCCACAACTTGTTTTCATGAAGGCAAAGGACAGACCTTTGTTTGAACAGTTGGCCTTTAGGTTAGTCACAGTTAAGCTGTTTAAAAAGTCTTCAGCAAAGTACTAAATCCTAAATGTAACACAGAGCTGTGCCAGCACTGACAGAAAAATAGCTACTAGGTATTCATGAACTGCCTACTCGCAGCAGCATTAATCAGCAGATTAATGTTAGCATCACACAATGCATTACCAGCCATAATTTCCATGATTACAGTCTTTACTAAGCTTAAATGCTAATTTGTAATATGCTTCACAGGAGTGGAGACTATACTGAGGAAACAATTAGGGAAGAAGCACTTTGTCATTGTGCTACCTTTGAACCCCAGATTGTTATTTACACTCTTGAAGAAAAGAAATACATCATATGAAAACTGTTGGCTGTTCTGACATTCTCCAACAAAACACTGTAATCTGAGATTTTACATTTTTATCATTTAAGTGATTACAAAAAACAAACAAACGGGAAAATTGACGAAACCACTGCCATTTATCACAACCAAATCCTTCAATCCAAGGGTTTTAAGATTAAGGGCAAAAGATTAGTATCTCAATAGGGACCAACCTAGGGAACATGTCTTATTTCAACCTTTGACATCCAGAGTGTGCTGTTATCTTTGCTACCAACGTGACTGGTGTCATCATACTGTGATCTAAAGGAATCTCTAAGGCAAAAAGGGGCTGTGTATGCCAAAAAACAGACTACTTGTCTCTAAAGAACTCCCAAATTTCATTACGAGATCTGCAAGGGAAAAGTCTTTGTAGTCTAAAACGAAAGTCTGAATAAAATTACAGGTGCAGGCAAGGACCTTTAATTTAAATATACTGGTCACAGCTTGGAGCCGACCAAAGACAACTTTTCAGCAGAACCTCATACCAACTCAAGTATCAGGGTTTGGGATTACTTCACTGAATCAAATTATGGCAGTGAGTTATTAATACATCATTAAGACTATGAAAAGATGAAATGTGTTGTAGAATGGCTTACACAAATGCTCAGACTGCAATGTTGTGGGCAGTGTATGCAAGGAACGCTTCAAACATTTCATTATCAGCACTATCAAAGTTTTATCAATTGAAAGTTAAAGAACCCCTTTACCAGAAAACACCTTGCAGGGAATAACACCTGCAAGGCGTTTTCTGGTAAAGGGGCTGAGGCCAGGGGGTCTGCTTTCTTTTTTCATAAAAAATGTTAATATTTTGTTCAACTTCCAAAAGCTCATGTTTTCTATATGCTGTTCAAGTATATCACCTCATCAGTGAGCCCTGTTTCAAAGAAAAACAATTTCAAACAAATTTAAAAAAGCCAACATTTTGTAATGATTTTTTAAATACACATACTGCACCTCTGCACAGATTTCATTAGTGACCATGTACACAGTTTGTTAGAGGGGCCAAGGACAGCGAACATAACTCATATAACCTTTGGATATAAACTCAAAATCCCCTCCAGCAATGTACATCTCATACAGGGACACATGCCACTGAAAGCAATGTCCTTGTACTCACTTGAAATGTATAAAACATGGCTCTCTGTACGGCTTTCAGGGAAAAAAATAGCAAGTACGAGTTACAAGTTAGTTAATTCCTGTCTGAATGAACAATTTATTGTAGTCAGATTTCAAAGTGTAACTACAGCAGAGGGATGATAAATTACAGAAAAAACTGAATCCTTGACTCTTGAGTTAATTTAGTAGCACTGCTGTGCTATAAGAAGCAATTTGCTGGCGTGGTTTCGCCCAACTTCCAATAACCCTCCCCTAGGAGGGAATAGTTTTTGCAAATCAACACATCTCTTTCCTGACTGGGTGTGTTTTTTTGTTTTTAAATGTAAAACTGTGCGGTTTAATGAGCATGAAAATGTTTCTATCACATTAATCAATACTTACACTGTACACCTATGGTAAAGTAAAACCACAAGCCTTAAATTGTATCTCCACCATTACAAAAAAATTGGATAGAATTGTAAAACATGCTGAATCACTTTACTCATCTAGTGGTGCAGCACCTTACTAAGAGACTGTGTTGCTGGCTTTTACTTCAATTTGTGCCCATTTGTTCAGTTATTAGCAAGAAAATGAAAACACACTCCTATTGTGTCGACATGAGACCAAGGAGACCAACAGGAGCCTTTATATGGTAAGGTAACGACCCCCTTTTGATCAATCACTTGGCAATGGTGGGAAGGAAAAACTCCCCACTTCATGAAACCTCCTGCTCCTTCCTGAGCAGCCATCAGCCATGACCGGTTGGAAGTGATGGGAGGAAGACAAGATACTGTAGTTCCTCAAGCCTGGTGATAAGTGGAACTCATCACTGATTAATAGAAGATATCTTTTCTGAGGTCTAGGTCATATCTAGAATTGGGTGGAGCAAGTTATTCAACTATAAGGGGGCGGGACTTTTAATTTAGCGCTTACCTCGTCTTAGCAGATGACCTTGATGTGAAACAAATTCTTTCCTCCGTCTGTTCAAAAAGACCTTGCAACGGAAAATGACTGAACCTACATCTTGGCCTTCTGTGACAAGAGAATATCAAAAGTCATGATCAGCTTTGTTAAAACACGCAAGTTGGAATTGGATGAGAGGGACTGGATTATTGTGTTAAGCACACAAGTGTTCAGTTCTTATTTTAATAAACTAATGCAGTTAGAGTTTGGTTATGTATAAATGGGTCACACAATTAATCCTGTATAAAATGTATTTAGTGTTGAAGAAATAAAGTTTAACGAAAAGGTTTGGAAACACTTTGGAATTACAAATATTTTCAGCACTGATCATTAATGAGCCATAAAATGTGGTCTGATGTTTGTCCAAGTCACAATTATAGACTAACACAAATTTGCCTAAACTAATGACACACAAACATTTGTACTTCATAATTATTAGCAGCCCAAGCTGGAAAAATTCAGTGCCCCCGGCTACAATTAAGGCGTAAAAATTCAAATTACTGTCAGTCTGGTTTTTTCGAGGAAAAACTGTTTGTGTAAATCATAGCTCAGTCATAAAATACTGACACAGGGCAAACAAAAGACAAAGAAACACTGACAGTTTCATGCATCTCTGTGAACAGTTTCAGATGAATGGCTAAAGCTCTTCTGTATGGAACTTGCAAGTTCACCCTGTGCAACACAACAGCTCTGACACTGAACCTTTTTATGCATGAATACCTAACACTGTTCGAGTTGCAAAGGTCATATTAGAGGAAGCATTAGGTTTGAACTCTGCAAATGTTGAAGAAACACTGACCCGAAACTGCATTAGGCTAACTGCAAAGGATTTCCATTCATTCTCATGAAAATATGCTTGGTTTTTGAGGTGAAAACATTCTGAGAAATTGCACATAATGACACCAGGTGTTCGCGTCTTGCTAGAAAAGTCTTAACCCATCATTTCTCATTAAGGGAAATCATTAAACATTAAGTGGAAAAACAGGAGAAGCAAAATTAATTCAGAATCAACTCACGAATACATGCCAGTTAGACAGGTGGGAATTGGAGTCCAACATCGTATAACAATGTGGGCAACAGCCCAACTCGGCACTGATAACAACTCAATTAGCACACTGGCTGCTTTTATTTCTGCACTGATTACATGGCTCATCAAGGATCAAAAACATATGCCCATGCATCTGAACCGTAATGTTCTGAGAGAAGGCTTTTAAAAAAGATAGGAAGAAACGAAAAAAGAATATAAAACATCTAACAAAAATATAAATATACATACAGGCTAAGGTTCAAAGTTGCTCAAGATCTAAATAACAAATAAAAAAATGCAAATGTAAATGAATCATGATATGAAATCTTTCAATCACTTTAATTCGTCACTACATCATTATCAGACTAAACATCATTTGAAATGATGGTTGTGTTAAAAGGCACTGCATGGATAAGCAGTATTTACATCCGTTTGTTACTTTCAATGAACTTTTGTAGTGTCATGTAATCATCATCAAGAAGATGTTAAACAATGCTCAAATGCAACCTGACATTACCTTTTACATTTGGGGTATGCATGAGAAAACACTTTTTACTGTGCATTAATATCATGCTTTACCTTTGCCATCTTTAATGACAGCACATCACACCATCTGCAGGAATGCAAATCAATATATTTTTAAGCTTTGGAGCTTGATTGCTACTAACTACTAGCAACACTGGAATTATCTGCCTCACATTTCTACCTTTGTCTTTATAGGACTCTGCCATCTCAGGTATTGCTGTAGTTAGTCTCCCACAGTTATGGTCCCACACCTGAGCAGCGTCATGATTTTTGTTTTGCACTGGTGTGAGACTTAAACTGGAGTGGACAGGACTGGCAGTATCCTCTTTGTTCATCCTGTTATGGTGAAGTTTTTGATCCATCACGCTAAAGCTTCCTCTACAGATGATGGTTACATATCAGATTGCTACATGGTCAATAGCTTCTTTTACAACTACCAGTTTTGCATGTACAAAACTGTATTTGAAATATTTATATCATGAATACTATACTATTTATATCAGAGCTACACTCCTCAGATTTATTAAACTTTGTATGGTAAAATCAATGCTACAGGGCCTTGTAATTTTCTAAAACACCGAAGGCATGTATTTGATATGCAACATTTGCAGTCCATAATGCATCCTACTCTATGAACCCTGGGTTAATGCTCTTTGGTACACCACTACCTTCCCACCTACACATAAAAAGTACACCCCAAGTTCATTTGAAGAGAGCTAAATATGAGCATATATTTCAGAGTAGGAGGAAAGTCATGGCAATATAACAATGCTGAGAAGAACTGGCAGGTTTGTCATCAATGAATAGATGATGGGCTCCCACGCACAGTAAGAAATATGGGAACAATACAAATCTGAAATTAACTACAGTGTCATTATACACAATTTATATTTCAGTCATTAGTCCCTACATTCTACTATATGTCAGATAACACTTTTTAACTTTTAACCTACAAATTCACAAAACTGGCCCTTTCATATCATGAGGCGACGTACATAAGGAATACTACAAATCACAGGAACTCTCAGTCATTATTATTTATAGATTTTTCATAAGATTCACAATCAAAAAGTCCTGTTTTTCAGAAATATCTATTTCCAGTAGCAGATTTCTTTATGGGTTGTGCAGGAGGACACAACACACGGGTCAGCTGGGGAATGCGTTTTCATAAATATTTCTATGAATAATACAATAGGCTGAGCAGTTCTCAAAGATGAAACTTGGAGGCAAAAACAGATCAATATCTGATTAAGCCACCCAGGATGCTGCATTGTTACCATCACCACAACCCACCTACAGTAAACAAACCTCTTACGGCAGGGAAATTACCAAGTATGGTGAAAACATTTGGCAGCTGATTATGCAATGACTCGTTTGATCAGCACCTCCTTGCTTGTTAGTTGGGCATGAAATACACTTTTTAAAAAAAAACAAAAAAAAAAACGGAGGTTAGTGTTCAGTTGAGTGTTTGCTCACTGATTCAATACCAGTGTCAGAGTTATTTTAAAGGGTAAAAATCATTCAAAAACAATGATTCTCATCAGGCACACAGCAAAATGTGTTAAAATAGGGAAAATTATTATTTAGTGTTCTAGTGTGTGTTTATATGTGCTGTAAAACCAGCTGATCTGTGCCAGACGCTTTGAGTCACAACTGATATATTTCGTTGGACATCCTCTTTGACCTCACGTCAGCGGAGCGCCCAACAGATGCTGTGTACGAGGAATAAGCATGCATTTTCATACACACCAGGTGCTGTTTGTCATCATACGTAATTAGATTCAGACTGGCTTACAGCACAGCATGATAGCAGCGAGTCTGGCGCTGTAGAGCCAGTGGATTTTGAAAAGTTTTTTTTTTTTTTTCGTCTTACCCCCTAGCAGTTTGGACTGACAGTTGACAAACTCTGGCTTCCGTGCTGAGCTGTAACGCTGGCAGGTGTGGTGGAGAATCTGGATAAAGGTGCACTTCTCCCCTGATGAACCAGCAACCCACTGATCGAAAGCGGTATCAAACATCAGGTCAAACTCCGGACAGTCCTTGGAACAGCAGTGAAAGGGAGACACCAATAAGAAGTGACAGTGTGTAGTAAGGGAAAAGGAATAAGAAGTAACTATAAGAAAATTGAGAATGGAGTACATAGCAACATGCTTTGAATTAGCAATACTTGTGTTCACTGGGAAAGGAGAAGGGAAATTACATACTTTGTTGGGGTCAATGCCGTTGACCTGCCGTAGCTGGTCAATTGTCCACTGTGACCTTTTTACAAAGGCAGATGATCCTTGGAACTGCTTCACCTTTGTGATTGAAACATGGGATGGTTTCTTGTTCGTCACTGTAGAAACAAAAGCCAAACAAGAGTAAGGCCTAATGGAGCAATAATTAAAACAACATTAAATTTCAGAGTACGAGGTTTCTGTGTAACCTGTAGACCCCATGCACATGATTCCCAGACAAGTTTTGATTAGGAAAATTGGACAGCTCAGGTCATCACATGTGGAATATTAGTCAAGCAAAAGTCACGAGCTTCCTTTCTGTAGGCGGCAGAAACAAAGGGATCCATTAACAATGATTACTTCGCTTCTAGAGCCAACAGCAACAGAGACCATGATAAACATTTCCTATTAGAAGACACAGCCTAACCCTGAACAGATACGCCCTGTAAACATGGCTTTTTTATTATTCATACCAATCTGTGCGCAGTAATCTTATGTACAGTAAACTGCGCTATAAATTTCTGTTGTGCTCTAACAACATAATGCCATATTTTTTACTACACTACTTTGAAAAACATAAAGTCTTGGCTATATTGTTTCTGTCATCAGAAAACAGTGTGGGACACAGCTCCGGTCTCTACACTGATGTGATGTATTTCTTCTGCACTGCTGACTAAAACTAATTGAAAGACATAATATGAGCTCGGTGGGGGTGGGGTGAGGGGCATTGCTTTTAAACAACTGGCCAAAAACAAATGAATAAAATATAATCTAAAAGTGCTTATTAGGTGCTGGGGATTTTTAATCAGTAACTTTAGTATCTACAAATCAGAGTTAATTGCCAGCTGGTTGATAGCATATTCTTTCAGGTATTTTATGTGTAGTTTAGTATATATGACTAAGGCTTCACTCAAACTCCTGTCCTCAGCTTCCCCTCCAGTTATCCAAGCATTGCAGAACATATGTTTATATTGCTCTTCTGTGTTTAACTGTAGGTTGGCATTTGAGAATAAGACCACCAGATTTCTGTAGCGCGTCAAGGCTTTTAGTTTGGACAAAATGTTCAAACTAAAAGACCGTATTTTGGAGCTCTGTGTCACTCTCAGGGACAATTGGTCCTGCGCTGCTTTTTTAACCCAGGCAGCAAACGTCTGCTTCCGCTCTCTCACATCCTCCATTGTGTCATGTCAGAGAGATGGAAGTGTGTGGGTCACTTTCTCTGCATTCTCTCCAGTTTTTTACCCTACACTTCTTTAAAAAAAAAAAAAAAATTAAAAAAAACCCAAAAAACCAAGACTATGCTGTTCCATTTTCCCTATTGTTCTGGTTCACTTTTTGAAAGATTTTCCACACCCGTTTCTGGAAATGGAAAATAAAGGTAGGGCTGAATGTCAGGTCAGTAAGCAAACTCCCATGAGATGAGAGATGTTTGGATACGTTTTGTGCATCCATTTAGACAGCTGCAGTTCATACTTGAGTTGCTGGCCCGGGTGGAACAGACAGATAGAGGAAGACAAGCATTTCTTCTTCTTTCCTACAACACCTTCCTTATCTTTTCTTTGAGAATTTCAATCAGATAGAGAATCACAACCATGATTAACAGATGAACAGAATGATCACATCTGTCTTGTGTCACAGTGAAGGCTAATAGGAGCTCTTGAAAGCAGAAAATTTCATAAAGCAGACGACAGGCTTGGTGTAATGAACCAATGTGCTGAAGGGTAGAAATGCAGAATCTAAGGTCATTCACTTCCCAGCGAGAATAATTTATCTTTTACTTACACTGGTGGCAGATGATAGGCTATAATACAGAGCAACTACTCTCCTCAAAATTATCAAGTAGAAATTGTAGAAAGTGGCCTACTCGTCATGGCGCAGGAATTAATTATTATTTTCTATTATCAATGAATGTCATTTTCCCCCCCGAATTAATTCAAATGTCCTTTCTAAAAAAAATGTAATTTCAAATTTATATCCATCTTAAAATGGGGAAAAGTGGGTTATCCTTATCTTTTCAGCATTTTGATTAATACGGTGCAAAAATCTTTAAGCCAGTCTTCATTTCTCTGTGCTCTGCTGGAAAATGGGAATGGTGCAATGATATATTAAAATGTGAAACATACACTGAAATCCAGTGTATTGGGCAAAGATTCAATGGCAATGAATTTGAAAGTCAGTATTTGGTTTAAATGCCTTCAACGCAGCCTGAACTGTCTTAGGAAAGTGTTGTTTTAATTTCTTCAGGGAGTCTTCAGGAATAGTTCTCAGAGCCTCGTGACGGACATTCAAAGCTCCTTTTTGGATGTTGGCTACTTTTTGTTCTGTTCTCTCTCAAGATGATCCCACAATGAGTCGATAATGTTGAAGTCTGGGGAGGTCAACAGGGTCAATGGGGAGGTCAATGCATTACTTAGTGTTCCACTGTGCGTTTTTCTATCCAGGTACTCACTTACTGCATTGGCAGTGTGTTTGGGCTCATTGCCATGATGAAAAATGAAGCCAAGCAGATATTTTACAGATAGCATTGCATGACAATAAAAATCTCTTCTGTGTTTCTAATTTAATCAATTTCGTTATTTCCCCATGTAGCGTCACATGCATCTTCTCAAGTCCTGGGTCAGGTCTTTGCTATATTTTTCTTATTTCTCAAGGGTATGACTTTTAAAATCCTGTTCACCTGCTGTAAATAGTTTTTCAGGCCTGCCACCTCTTCTGTTCTCTTTCATTTCTCTTTCTCTTTTTTATTTTGTTTAAGGACACAATGCACACCCTGCTGAGACACAGGTCAACAGGTCTTTCAGAATCACTTTGTTAGTGCAAACATTCTTTGTTGTTATTGGCATTTTCAATAGATTTAACCAAAGAAATGTGAACGAATGTGTTTTTGCAATAGATACAGTTCAAAATTGGTCAAGTTTTCTGTTATGTGAACACAACACTGGTCCATTTCCCTTGAGTTAGGTGCCTTTTTTATGCTTGAATGATTCACAGGTCATAGGCTCCAGCGCCCCCCGCGACCCTGAAAAGGAGAAGCGGAAGCGAATGGATGGATGGATGGATGGATGGTTCACAGGTCAGTGTTAAGTGGAGTTACAAGGACTGGACTAAAATTGAGCCAATGTTCAAAAGATTTTTTTTATTAAACTTGAATTTTAGATGCAAATACAAAGAAATTAAGGTTGGCTCAAGATTGATAAATTACTAATCTATCAAATGTTAAGCACGATCTGTCTCTTTATTTAGCTGAAGATGCCAAGCTCCACAATGAAATGTGACTAGAAATCCTTTTCACAAAATGTATTCTGACTCAAAGCTGAACAGTCAGTCACAGCAGGAGAATGCAACATGCTGAAAAGACACCAAACACATACACCAACAGTAGCTTTACAATATACTGAAGCAGCCACTGATGTCAAGGCTCATTGATTGTAAATTTCTGCACCCACAGCATACTGTGTAGAACACAAACGATGATAAAAATAAAATCATGTATATGAATGAGTACAACCCCTCAAGCCTGAGCAGCTCTGACTGACACATTCTTGCATATACACTGACAAATCACTGGCTTTTCTAGTCAGGCTGCTTTCAAAGTAATCACACTGACTCCAGGATTAGAATAACGCAGAAAAAAAAATTATATGTCACATGAGAAATGCACACCAAATGCATACTTAATCATCCCTGGTTCACATGAAGAGGGGAGAAAAATTACAGCAAATTTAATTGGGTGGCACTGTTTGCCTAAGTATCTTTTTCACTATACGATGACATTGCAATGTGACTGAACTACTGAAATGCATCAGTGAATGTGTGAAAGAGAGCCGCTGTCTCAAGGCCATGGAGCTAAATTGTCAAGGCATCAACACAGAGATCTTAATCAAACTGCCAGACACCTTTGAGCCTCTCAAATCAATTTCATATTCAGCTGTTGACTCCCACCTTGTCTGAGTGGCTCCCTGGAATATTAAAACAATTACTGAAAGTTCGAAGAGCTGGCGTTATTGAAATAGCAATCAAGGACGAGAAAACCTATACTGAAGCTCTTGTAATAAATGAACTTTAAACTGCTCTCATAATAAATATATTCACTTAGACACCAAGTCTGGAGAACAGCACACTTTAGCAAAGTAAAAAAAGTAAGGAATTTATGAAGCATGTTGAACCCATTTTATCAATACTTAATATCCAGTGTCAGTAAGCTTGTCTTTTTGTACAGTATCATGTATCACTGTTCTGCTGATTATAAAACTAAAAAAATGAATTTTTTAGATGAGTGGTTATGTTGGGTTTCTCAATTATTCTGTTCACTGAGTTTGAGTTATTGTGATAATACGAAGATGGATGAATACATTATCCCTTCCTGAACATAAAATGAACAATCTGTAATGTGATCCATTTCTCTCAATTTTACTGCAGGAGTCACACCCTTAAAACATTATTTGTATCACAAGCTGAGACCGAACAAATAACACCTGACTAACTAGTGCAAGTAAAAGCCAAGAGATGACCACAACCACTGAAAAGCAGCCAAACACATTGTTTCTATGTGGGCTGGCTATCAGAGGAAGGCCATGCTGAGGTTCCTGTCTGACTATTTTCTCATGCTCTGATGGTGACATGCTTTCACTTCCTCCAGTGGATCCCTTGTTGTGTTTGGCTATGTGCAAGTAGTGCTGCCTGAAGGGAAACCCGTACTGTACATTTCACCGACTGCAGAGATCAGAGGAAAAATTCCTGGAATCAACTTAACTTCAAGGAAACATGACCCCAGCTGTGGTTGTTAATAGAAATGTGAGCATGAGGTGGTGTTCTGGCACAGGCTGTAAACGACATAACAGATCATGCAATGATTGTGTGCATTACCGATTGCATATCGGCATTGTTGGAAATATCAAATAGAGTACTATGAAAACAAATGTTATCCAGAAATATTTTGGTAAACTAACAACATTATAACAGCTGGAGAAAATGAAAAGAGCAGACAACGAAGTGCCACCCACATAGGCATAAAATTAAAACCTTCCTTCCCTTATAAAAACACAGCATCATCGTCATGTCAACACTGACACTTATCAAAAGCGTGCAGCCAAAGGCAAAGAGCATCAACAGTTTGGCC